CGGCAATGCCGTGGGTGGGTGGGTGGTTTCGGCAGTGGCGCAGCCCCCATACAGGCCACGACTAAGCGGGTTTCAGTACCCCCGGACGCCGGGAGGTGCCGCCCACACCAACCGGCTGCCCGCCCGGGGGCGAGGAGGAGGAGGAGGAGGGAGGAGGAGAGGGAGGAGGAGGAGGGAGGAGGGACCCGGACCCCCGACGTCCTGACTTGCCCAGCGTCGGCACCTCCAGAGGCCCCGACCCCCACTCCCGAGGGACCGGCCCTTCAGCCCGAGCCGCTCTTCGGCGGCCCCGAGGCCCGGCAGGGGCCCCTGGAGCTGGAGGCCGAGCATGTTCATGCTGGAGGTCCGCGCGTAGCTTTGATGCTGGCCGATCCAGCGACGGCTAAAGGCCCTCCTGGATGGGGTCGGAGAAGATGGGGTCGGAGGATCGCGCCGCATCGCCGATACATCGGCGACGCATCGGCGATGCATCGGCGAAGCACCCACGATGCATCGTCGACGTCGGCGATGCATCGGCGGCGTCGACGTGAAGCACATCGGGCTGCACATCGAGCCGCATCAGCGATGCATCGGCGATGCTTTGTGATCCTCCGACCCCATCTATTCCGACCCCATCTAGGAGGCCTATCACGGCGCAAATCATGGCAGGCAGCACGTGCGCGGCCCCGGGGGGGGGGGCAGGGACGTAGTGAAATCAGAAGAGGCGCCATGAAATCCGAGGAAATATCATGGCCCCCGCCATGATTGTCCCCCCCACCCCTAGCCATCACCCCCCCCTTGGCCGCTCCCGAATCGACTGAGCGACGGCGGCGGAGGAGCGCAGGGCGCGTCGCCGGTGCGCGGCGAGCCGACGCCCCAGGGCAGCGCGCCCGCGGCCTCCGCGGCGGCCTCGGCGGCGCCCGCGGCCCTGGCCGCCTCGCCAGAGGCCTGGGGGAGCGAAGGGCCAGGGGATCGTAGGACCACGTCCTCCTCGTCCTCCTCGTCCTCCTCCTCCTCCTGCTCCTCCTGCTCCTCCCTCCCCCTCCTCCCTCCTCCTCCTCCTCCTCCTCCTCCTCCTCCTCCTCCTCCTCCTCCCTACCTGCCCGTGCCTACTACCTCCCTCCTTCCTCCCCCTCCTCCTCCTCCTCCTCCTCCTCCTCCTCTTTTCCTCCTTCCTCCCTCCTCCTCTTCCCTCCTCTCCTACCTCCCCCTTCCTCCTCCTCCTCCTGCCTCCTCCTCCGCCTCCTCCGCATCCTCCTACCCCTCCCTCCTCCTCCTCCTCCTCCGTCCTCCTCCCTGCTTCCACCCCTCCCGCCTACTCCCCCTCGTCCCTCCTCCTCCTAATCCTCCTCCTCGGTCCTGCGTCCACCTCGCTCCCCACCTCCTCCTCCTCTCCTCCTCCACCTCTTCGTCCCCCGCCTCTAACTCCTCGTCCCGTTTCCTCCTCATCGACCTCCTCCTCCTCGTCCTCCTCCTCCTTTCTGCTTCTCCTCCTCCTTCTGCTCATGTTGTCCTTATCCTCTTTTCTTTTTTTTTATGTCCTCCTCTTCCTCTTGTTATCCTCCTCCTCTTTCTGCTTCTCCCCCTCCTCCTCCTTCACCTCCTCCTCCTCCTCCTCTTCCTCCTCTCCTCCTCCCCCCCTCCTCGTCCTCCTCGTCCTCCTCCTCCGCCTCCTCCTCCTCTCCCCTCCTCCTCCTCCTCTCTCCTCCGCCTCCTCCCCCTCCCTCCTCCACCTACGTTTCCTCCTCTCCTCCTCTTCCTCCTCCTCCTCCTCCTCCTCCTCTTCCTACTCCTGCTGATCCTCCTCCTCCTCCTCCTTCCCCTTTTCCTCCTCCTCCTCCTCCTCTTCCTCCTTCTTGGGGGGGAGGAGGGAGGAGAGAGGAGGAAGGAGGGAAGGGGGATGGTGTTTGACATGTGGCTCTCACCTCAGCGCCGCGCACGCTCACCTCCAGCGGCGAGCACCGGCAATTCCACGGGCGGCCAGCGGCCGCGCGTCAACCCGTGGACTCTGTTCGCGGGCGGAGGGCGGCTCCCTCTTCAACATGGCGCTTCTCGCCACGCCGCCGCGGCACGCCCGTCGCAAACGCTTGCAGGGAGCTCACTGGTGGATATGTATATAAATAGATAAATAGATGGATAGATGAATAAGTAGTATAGAATACAGAATGTATGCGTATATATATATATATATATATATACTAGAACCACGCGCGCGCTTCGCGCGCGCTTAGGTTCTGTCGAGTCCTCTTCCCCCATCACCTCTCCCTCCTCCTCCTCCTCACTCCTCCTCCTCCTCCTCCTCCTCCTCTCCTCCTCCTCCTCCTCCTCCTCCTCCTCCTCCTCCTCCTCGTCTTCCTCCTCATCCTCGTCCTCTCCCGAGCGATACAATAACAACTTGCGTGGAACCCCTCTCGGGCCCATCTTGGGGCTCTCGCGGGCCGCCTTTGGAGCCTTTTGCGGCGTCCTGGGTCTCTCGTGGGGGCTTCTTGGAGCTCTCTTGGCGCCTCCTGGAGCCTCTTGGGGCCGAAAGCTTGGAATTCTACAGTGGCTTTCTCCCTCTGGGACCCCTCTCGGGCACGCCTTGGGGCTCTCTTAGGCCATTTTGGAGTCCAATTTTGCCGTCCTGGCGCCTCGTGAACCGTCTTGGAACTCTCTTGGGGGCCACCTAGGCCGTCTTGGGAGCCTCTTCGGACGTGTTGGACGCGGTGAAAACCCAACAGGCGACCATGCGACAAGTATACGTTTTCCCACAGGAATGGGACCATTTGTGCTTCTTGGACCTCTCTTGGGGTGCCTCTCGGAACGTCTTGGGCTGAGTTTGGAAGCCTTTTGGCGCCTCTGGGCGGCGTTTTGGCGCCTCCTGGGATGTGTTGGGCCGGAAGCTCGGAATTCGAGAGTGGCTTTCTCCTTCTGGAACCCCTCTCGAAGTCGTCTTGGGGTTCTCTTGGGCCGTCTTGGGGCCGTCCTGAGCCACTCGTGCGCAGCCTTGGAGCGCTCCCGGAGGCCTCCTAGGCCGTCTTGGAGGCCTCTTGGGCCGTCTTGGACGCGGTGAAAGCCCAAGATGCGAACATGCGAAAAATATGGGTTTTCCCATAGGAATGGCACGACTTTTGTTTCTTGGACCTCTCTTGGGGTGCCTCTCGGAACGTCTTGGGGTGCTTTTGGGAGCCTTTTGGCGCCTCTTGGCGGCATTTTGGCGCCTCCTGAGCCTCTTGGGCCGGAAGCTCGGAATTCGAGGTTGGCTTTCTCCGTCTGGGACCCCTCTCGAACTCGTCTTGGGGCTCTCTTGGGCCGTCTTGGGGCCGTCCTGGGCCACTCGTGCGCAGCCTTGGAGCGCTCCCGGAGGCCTCGTAGACCGTCTTGGGCGCCTCTTGGGCCGTCTTGGACGCGGTGAAAGCCCAAGAGGCGAACATGCAACATATATACGTTTTCCCATAGGGATGGCACGATTTGTGCTTTTTGGGCCTCTCTTGGGCTGCCTCTCGGAGCGTCTTGGAGGCTTCTGGGACCTTGTTGGTGTCATGACAGGCGTCTTGGAAGGCATCTGGAGCCATCGGAGCGCGTTCCGAAGCCGCCTGCGAACGATCTTGGACGGCGTCCGGCGGTCCGACGAGCCTCCGGGCCCCCCGGGGCCCACATTTGCGGTCGGGGTCCCGGCCCCGGGCCCCCGGACCCCGGTGCGCCGTTATATGTGTACGCTGGTGCTGCGCTCGCGCTTAGGGTCTAGCAGATTACGGAATCATTGTCAGTAGATCTCGCGCTAATCCACGAACCCTAGGATACCCAGAGAGAGGTTCCCCAAGCAAAGGCCGCCCTCGGCACGTTGAGGTGCTGGGCCTTCTGCGGGATAGCTCAAGGTTCGGTGGATGGTCGCGGAGCCGTGCGAGATCGACGCGCGACGCGTCAAAAGGCTCCGAATTGTCCCAGACTGCGCAGGTGCCGTGACTGCCACGATGGCCGAGGAGGGTCCCAGAGGCACCTGGCCGCCACGCCGTCGCCGCCGCCGCCGCCGCCGCCCCCGCGGGCGCCGCCGCCGCCGCCGCCGCCGCCGCCGTCGAGATGATCGTCGCGGTGGCGGTCGTAGTGGTAGCGGTGCTGGTGGCGGAGGTCGTCTGAGGACGTGATCGGACGATTGCACGTTATGGGGCGTGTTTTGCTTCTCTAGGCCTCGGGGGGTCTCCGGACTCTGGAGATCTGTTGGGGCCTCCAGGGCCTCCAGAAGCCTCATGGGACTCTCCTGAAACTCCAACAGGCCCCCAAGAGAGCTCCAGGGGCCCGGCAGGGCCCAAAGGGGTGCCAAGGGAGCTCCCAGAGCGGCCACAGAGCCCCAACAATTCAACACAACGCCGTCCTTGACAAGGAAGCGCTTTGTATTAAATTTGTATTCGTGGGGCCCTCTGGTTCCGTCTCGGCGCTCTCTCGGGGCGGTCTTGGGCGCGTCTAGGGCCGTCTTGGGGTTCTCTTGGGCCGTCTTGGGGCCCTCTGGGGGACCTCTTGGGCCGTCTCGGGGCGGTCTTGGGGGCCTCTGGAGACGTCGTGGAGCGCTGGAAGCTCGAAAAATCGAGACCTTCGAAAACAGATAAAAACCGATGTGACATCATTGATGCTTGACTCTTGCGGTCATCTGGGGCGCGCTCATCGAACCCCCTAGGGCCGTCTTGGAGCATCTTAGGACGGAAAGCTCGAATTTTCGGTTCGGGCTCCTGCGCTCGGGCCCCTTTGGGATCGTCTTGGAGCATCTTGGGCGCCTCTAGGGCCGCTTGGTGTCCCCGTGGGCCGTCTTTGGGCACGTTCGGGGGCCTCTTGGCCCGTCTCGGGGCGGTCTTGGGAGCTTGGGACGTCGTGGGACGCCGGAAGCTGGATGGGTCGAAACCCCGAACACGTTGAGAAACCTACGGCCAATCAGTAGTGTTGGTCTCTGGGGGGCCTCTGGGGAGTGCTCGTCGAATCCTATTGGGCCGTCTGAGGACATCTTGGGACGGAAGGCTAGAATTGTCCTCTCCTGCTTGGGCCCCACTTGAGGCCATCTTGAAGCCTTCTTAGGCAGTCTTGGGCCACTCTTGGGCCATCTTGGGGCCGTCTTGGCCCGTCTTTATCACTCTTCGCCGTCGCCCTCGCGTTCGGAGCGAAACTCTACTGTATTAAACGCGTCTGCAACGCTGAATCTCCGAGCGCTAGCTGAAAAGCGACGGAGAAGTCGGCTTCAAAGACTCAAGACCCCAAGGTTGAGTTATACAAGCTACATAAAGATTTCCTGCAGAGTGAGGAGGAGGAGCAGGAGGCAGCAGGTAAACAAGAAATCGATGAGGAGCAGGAGGAGGAGAATGAACACCCGGTGGTTGCCACCACTGGGCGCGGCTTGAAACAGTTGTTGCCAACACCATAATGGTGAGACATGGTGCCAAAACCACAGACGAATCCCTGAGGCTCGGCCCTAACTGGACGTGGCGGTAATGCCCGCCCCAAAAAAATGTGGGCGCTGCAGCGCTTCCAAAGAAACCTAGACGGAGCAGGAGGAGGATGAAGATTGAAGGTTCGCCACCACTGGGCGCGGCATTAAAAGAAACTGTTGCCATGAAGATCGGGGATTGGCCACCACTGGGCGAGGAATGAACAAATTGTTGCCAACACCATCATGGTAAGACATGGCGCAAGAAACGCAGGACAGACTCTGAGTCGGCCCTACTTGGACGTACGCCGAGACTGTACAGCAGCACGTGCTTAAACTTTTCCGCCCACATTGCGCTTGACGCTGTGGACGAAGCTGCGTATCACGCAATATATACGGCGCGGCTGACAGCCCGTGGCCACGTGGCGTGCCCTGCGCCGTTTCCATGCTATTCCCCTGGGCTGGCGTGAACCATGCCAAGTAGTGCAGTGACTGGCAAAATTTGGAACATCCAGAATCACTACAAAAAAGTCCTAGGATAAAAATTCGTGCCGTGCGTCTGGCGCGCGAGGCAGGAGGCGTCCACGTTGATCCATCTGATACGAGGTGCAGGGCTCGCCCTGGACTGAGGGAAGCTCCCCTGACCGCTGCCCCCAAATGGACGCGGCCAGGCGGGCGCTGACGGCACGCGCCACTAGCTGGCGGCTCTCCTGGCCAGGCGGCACGATCATACAGAGGAAGACGTCAGTGTGGTTTGGTTCTACTGCCTTCCCCCCCCCGGGCTCACCGCCGACTTTTGCTCGAGATCAGCCGCGCGAGCTCGGAGCGGCCCCGAGCGCCGCCGAGGGCGACCCCGGCGGCGCGGGGGGCCCGCGCGCCTCGCGGCGCAACGCCCTCGAGATGGCGCCCGCCCGGCTCCCGGGGCTGCCGATCGCGCCGTCGCCCTCGGCGCGCCCCGCCGCCGGCGCCGCGGGCGCCGCGGGCCCGAAGCGGTGCCCTTCGCGGCTGCCGGCCAGACCGCTCCCACCTTCGTCGAGGCACGGGCGACGCGCCCTCACGCCCAGCTCCCAAGGCGAACGTGCGGGCCACCTGGCGGCGACGGCGGCCTTCTGCTCCCAGTACGCCTCGGACCTGAGGCGCCTGGGGGGGGCTGGGGCGCGGGCTGGCGAGGGACGTCACCTCGAGGAGCGCCAGTTCGCCGCCGTTCTCCGACAGCGCGGTGGCGCCCCAGCTCCAGCTCTCCTCGTGCGCGTTGGCGTCCTGGCCGCCGTCGCCGACGGAGAAGGCGAGCAGCGCTTCCGTTGGGCATCGCGTGAGGGCCAAGCTGATCCCGTCCGGCTCAGGGCGCGCCACCTTCCCCTTCCCCTGCTCGGCGAGAGCCGCCTCACCATCCTGAAGCATGGCGCGGAGTCTGGCGATGGGGGGCTGTCCAGCCCGGAACCAGACAGGATACCAACTTGGAGACCTCCACTGGGTCAATGGCTTGAACCAAGATGTCTACGGAGGCCCTCTTGGCCTGTCTTTGGGCCCACTTGGTGGCCTCTTGGGCCGTCTTGGAGCAGTCTTGGGGGCCTCTTGGGACGTCGTGGAGCGTCGGGAGCTCGAAAGTCGAGAAACCCGAAACCATGGGAAAGCCTTTGGTAATCTGGGGGCCCTCTGGGGAACGCGTGTCGAATTCTCTTGGGCCGTCGTGAAGCTAACCGGGGCCGTCCAGAAGCCACGCGGGACATCTTTGACGCCACTTCTTAAGGGCGTCTGGGCAGCTCTCGGGTCGCTGCTGGGGAGGGGAGGAGCCAGGAACCCCCATGGCGCCCAGAGGCAGCTGGGAAAAGGCCCCGGACCCTGTGCACAGATACAGATATACATAGATATAGGCATCTGCATGCACACGTGTATGTATATACACCTATAGGCGTGCATGTATGTATGAATGCATGCATGAATGCATGCATGCATGTGTGAATGCATGTATGAATGGATGTGATTATGTATGCATGTATGTAAACATGCATACATGCATGTATGTACGCACGTGCAAACGTACGTACGTATGTATGTATGTTTGCATGCATGCATGCATGTATGTATACCCGTGGGTATATGTGTATATATAAACTATGTGTATGAGGATGCGTGTATGCATGTATAAGTGTACGCATGCATGCATGTGTGTACGTGTGCATGCATGTATGAATGCAGGTATGTGAGGATGCAAGCGTGTGTGTGTTTGCATGTTTGCATGCATGCATATGTATATGCATGTTTTCATGTATGCATGCATGTCTGTATGTATGTATGTATACCTCATACATGTATGTATGTATGTGTATGCATGCATGCATGCATGCATGCATGCATGCATGCATGTACATACAACTATAAGTAACACTATGTGCACATATACTTATGTGTGCTAGAACCATCGCGCGCGCTTCGCGCGCGCTCAAGTCCCACCAGCCCTCTGGGCGTCGGTGGTTTAGGGAGTTTCCTCTTCCACCCCTCCTTCCCCTTCGGGGAGTGGTTTACCCCTCCCACTACCCCCTCCCCTGGACCTCGACGGGGGGATTCACGAGGTGTCGGAGCGTCCAAAACGGCCTCGGCGAGGAAGCCAACATCATTGGTTTTACTAGGGTGCTGGCCACACGTTGGCCTCCTGAGGGGGGGACTGTAATTAGTACCCCCCCCTCCTGTGATCGATCTCACCCAAGATGGCCCAAAGATGGCCCCCAAGGCTCCCAAGGGTGGCCCAAGAGGGCCCCAAGAGGTGGCCAGGAAGCCCCAAGAGGCCCCCAGGATGCCCCCAAGAGGCTCCCAAGAGACCCCCAAGAGGCCCCAAGAGACCCCCCAGAGGCACCCAAGATGCTCCAAGAGGCCTCGGCGAGAACGCCAAATCATTGATTGCACTAAGGTTTTAGCCACATGTTGGCCTCTTGGGGGGGGACACTGATTAAGATGACTCCACGAGCCCCTGTGAGAGCCCAAGATGACCTCCAAGATGGCTCAAGATATCCCAAGATGTCTCATAATGGCTCCCACGATGCTCCCAAACGCCCCAAGACCGCTCCGAGACGGCTCACAGTGGCCAAAGGGCTCCCCCAGCAGGCCCCGAAGAGGCCAAAACCTTAGGAAATTCTATGTGTTTGGCTGTCTCGCCTTTTCGCTTCCGATGGCCATCCGAGGCCTCAAGATCGAAGGGGCCCTGGGACACACAAATAAATAGACACAAATAACTGGATTCCCTGTATTTCACTTTATTTTCTAAATTTATGTCGTCCCCCCCACTTCCCATATTTTCATATTTTCTGGGAATCGACGATTAATTGTGTCTGTGTGTTTGTTCCCCTCCTGAAAGATGGCTCCAAGATGGCCGTCTTGGGCCTATCTTGGGGGTCTCTTGGGCTGTCTTGGAGCGGTCTGGGGAGCCTCTGGGCCGGTCTAGGAGCGTCGGTAAGCCGAAACAGCGAGGAAGCAACAAACATGGAAAAACACATGAAAATCAACTATTTTCGCCTCTCTGGCCGCTCGTCGGCGGCATCTTCACGCCTCTTGGGGCGTCTTGGGGACGTACTCGGCAGCTTCAGACGCATCGTGGGCCCCTGGAGACACCTGCAGGCGGTCTTGGGAGCGTCTCGAGAACGTCTGGGGCCGCCGGGACGGCTGTCCGAGGGCTCCTGCGGCCTTCTTGGGCCCTCTTCGGCCGTCTTGGGCGGGTCTGGGGGCAGTCTTGGGGCTCTCTTGGGCCGTCTAGGAGCTCTGTTGGAGGCTCCTGGGCCGTCTTGGAGCGGTCTAGGGAGCCTCTGCGGCGGTCTTGGAACGTCGGGAAATCAACACAGCGAGGAAGCAAACACATTGAAAATACTCATGAAAATCAACGATTTTCGCCTCTCTGGCCGCTCGTCGGCGGCATCTTCACGCCTCTAGGGGCGTCTTGGGGGACGTCCTCGGCAGCTTCAGACGCATCGTGGGCCCCTGGAGACACCTGCAGGCGGTCTTCGGAGCGTCTCGAGACCGTCTGGGGCCGCCGGGACGGCTGTCCGAGGGCTCCTGGAGCCTTCTTAGCTCTCTTGGGCCGTCTTGGGCGAGTCTGGGGGCAATCTTGGGGCTCTCTTGGGGCTCTCTTGGGAGCTTCTGGGGCCGTCTTCGAGCGGTCTCGGGAGCCTCTTGGGCGGTCTTGGAGCGTCGGAAAGCCGAAACAGGGAGAATGCCAAAAACATAGAAAAACTAATGAAAATCAGCGATTTGGGCCTCTCCGGCCGCTCAAGGGCGGCATCTTGAAGCGTCTTGGGACGTCGTGGGGGGGGCTTCCTGGGTAGTTTAAAACGTATCGTGGGCGGATGGAGACGCCTGGAGGCGGTCTGGGGAACGTCTCGAGACCGTCCAGGGCTGCCGGGACGGCTGTCTGAGGGCTCCCGACGGCGATTTCAGCCCTCTCAGAGGCGGCCCGGGCCCCCGGCTCCACATGTGTGGCCGAGGTTCGGGCCCCCGGGAGCGTCCTGGAGCCCCGTGGCCCCCATGGGTGTCCGAGGCACCAATCTGGCGGCCCCAGGTCCCGTTCCCCGGTATATATATATATATATATATATATATATATATATATGCATGCATCTGCAAATGCAAATGCAAATGCATCTGAGCGTGTCCGTCCTAATCCAGGGGTCCCATGAGGCTTGCAGGGTGCTTTTTGGAAGCTGTTATGACCCCCCTTGAGGACTGTTTTGGCGTCTCTTGAGGCCTTGTTGGGGCCTCTTGGGGAGCTGGGGCCTCTCGGGGGCCTCTGTGGGAGTCATTGGTGCCTCTCGGGGACCGTTCTGGGGCCCCCTTGGGCCGTCTTGGGGCGTCCTGGGTCTCTCGTGGGGGCTTCTTGGAGCTCTCTTGGCGCCTCCTGGAGCCTCTTGAGGCCGAAAGCTTGGAATTCTACAGTGGCTTTCTCCCTCTGGGACCCCTCTCGGGCACGCCTTGGGGCTCTCTTAGGCCATTTTGGAGTCCAATTTTGCCGTCCTGGGCGCCTCGTGAACCGTCTTGGAACTCTCTTGGGGGCCACCTAGGCCGTCTTGGGAGCCTCTTCGGACGTGTTGGACGCGGTGCAAACCCAACAGGCGACCATGCGATAAGTATACGTTTCCCCATAGGAATGGGACCATTTTTGCTTCTTGGACCTCTCTTGGGGTGCCTCTCGGAACGTCTTGGGCTGAGTCTGGAAGCCTTTTGGCGCCTCTGGGCGGCGTTTTGGCGCCTCCTGGGATGTGTTGGGCTGGAACCTCGGAATTCGAGAGTGGCTTTCTCCTTCTGGGACCCCTCTCGAAGTAGTCTTGGGGTTCTCTTGGGCCGTCTTGGGGCCGTCCTGAGCCACTCGTGCGCAGCCTTGGAGCGCTCCCGGAGGCCTCGTAGACCGTCTTGGGCGCCTCTTGGGCCGTCTTGGACGCGGTGAAAGCCCAAGAGGCGAACATGCGAAAAACATATGTTTTCCCATAGGAATGGCACGATTGTTGTTTCTTGGACCTCTCTTGGGGTGCCTCTCGGAACGTCTTGGGGTGCTTTTGGGAGCCTTTTGGCGCCTCTTGGCGGCATTTTGGCGCCTCCTGGAGCCTCTTGGGCCGGAAGCTCGGAATTCGAGGTTGGCTTTCTCCGTCTGGACCCCTCTCGAACTCGTCTTGGGGCTCTCTTCGGCCGTCTTGGGGCCGTCCTGGGCCACTCGTGCGCAGCCTTGGAGCGCTCCCGGAGGCCTCGTAGACCGTCTTGGGCGCCTCTTGGGCCGTCTTGGACGCGGTGAAAGCCAAAGAGGCGAACATGCGAAAAATATACATTTTCCCATAGGAATGGCACGATTTTTTGGGCCTCTCTTGGGCTGCCTCTCGGAGCGTCTTGAAGGCTTCTGGGACCTTCTTGGTGTCATGACAGGCGTCTTGGAAGGCATCTGGAGCCATCGGAGCGCGTTCCGAAGCCGCCTGCGAACGATCTTGGACGGCGTCCGGCTCGGTCGTCCGGCGTCCGACGACCTCCCCCGACGACCTCCGGGCCCCCGGGGCCCACAGTTGCGGTCGGGTCCCCGGCCCCCAGGCCCCCCGGACACACGCGCGCGCGTCGCGCGCGCTTAGGTTCTGTCGAGTCACAGACCCAGAAATCGTTGTGAGAAGAAATTGGTGACGCGAAGCGTCGTGGGGGCGTCCTTGGACGTCTGGGGTCTCCTGGGGCCTCTTGAGGGGCCTCCTGGGGGCCTCCTGGCGGCCTCTTGGGCGGAAGGCTCGAGCTTGCGGTTCGTGGTCCCCCTCTGGGCCCCCTCTTGGGCCCGTCTTGGGGCCCTCTTGGGCCATCTTGGGCGCCTCTTGGGCCGTCTTGGTGCCCTCTTGGGCTGTCCTGGGGCCCTCTTGGAAGCTTCTTGGGCCGTCTTGGGGCGGTCTTGGGCGCCTCTTGGGCCGTCCTGTAACGTCGGAAAGCCCAAAAGACAACTTTGTTGAACACGTACGTTTTACGAAGGGAATGGGCCAACTTTTGCGTCTGGGGGCCCTCTTGGGACGCATGTTGGAGGCTTCTTGGGGCGTCT